CCATGCAGGGATCGAGGGTCAGTATCACTCAGCGTTGTCGTGGACCAAAATCAGACGTCCGCTCTGCCAGTTGGTCTCGCACATGGAATGATCGGTGACAGTGACATGGCAGTTGAACAATGGTATGATTACTCTTATCTTCCGATGAGTCGAGTCGGACTGTAAATTAAGTTTTGTATCACGGATATCACATCAACCGAGACGATCAATGCGTCAAAATCAGACGACAAAGACTTGCAAAGAAAGATGAAGATAGCGTGATGGCAGTTGAATGGGAGGGGAAGCGATTAGTTACATAGAGAGCTCACAGTGCCAAATCAGCAGAGCGTGGGAGACCACATGATCACTAGCGAGGATATCTCCACGCAGTAGTGCAGAATCATAAAAATAAGTACTTAGCACTGCTGAGGATTCCTCGTTCTGGGATTGTCAGAGCAACTGTGACACGCGCGGTGTCTGATCAATCGCCGTGAAGCTGATAACCAATTGAAGCGAAAGGCCGCTCGAGGCCGTCAAAGCCCCTCATGGATTCTTCATGCAGAGAGTGAGAAAGCATGAACGATTGGGCGAGAGCATGGACACTAGCGAATAAACTAAATGAATTCGAGCTGGCAAATCCTGCAGATGCTGAAGCTGGTAGGCTGGCAGTCCCTTGTTGGGCGCTATGAGAAGTGCAGGATGAGCGAGTAAGAGGACGAATGGGAGGAGACACAGAGCGTGACAGACTGCAGGAGATTAGCGGGAACCCGCTTTAGCGGCCGATGCTGCTGTGTGATAACAATCCTCAAAGACAGAGTTGAGCAGTCTATGATCTTGCGAATATCGGACTTCAGTTACTGGAAGAGGGAAATAGTAATGTACTGTACAGAAACGGCATCTAAAAGACTGGACCGACACCAAAATGTCCTTTTACTCCCATGAAATTCCTCTTCCGATGAGTTGACAGCGACACTATTACAGTAAGTACAGCATAGTTCTGACTTTAAGTGCGATGACGGGGATTTTAAGAAACTGATATTCCAATAAACCTATTGTATATGAGACAGTCGAGATGAACCATTCATGCTTATACTTCGGCGCATCTCAAAGAATAGAGTTCGTCTCACCGTCTTTTCCGCTCATTGTTCTTCGTTTTTAGGTGGAACAAGGTAGATATCTAAGTTACGGGGTTTATGCCTTTGAGCCCACGTGCATATCTTATGATAATTCGACCCCTCGTTTTGCATTCCTTTTCAGGAACGATTCTTCAGGCCCCCCGAGAGCGGCGCAAAATCGGAGATATTGTCAACTTTGGATTGGTGGTAAATAGCTATGAATAGACATATCTAGATACCTGACATGAACAGGACCCAATGACTATATTTGGCATCAATTTAATACAGAGTATCAACAAACTTATCTGGGGGAGGCGTTCTGATTGAGATGCAAGAGTTCGTCTTCTGATTGGCTAGAAAAAATGTGACGGAGATGAGCGCCTGCAGAACGTCTGTGATTGGTCAGTTCGGCTGTTCCCAGTACTGATGGACTGGCGATGGCTCTCAGTACCTATGTACCTAGAGTCAGTAGTACAGAGTGCCTAGATAGAGACTATCCAGGCGCCTTTATCCGGGCGCACAAGAGTTAAAAATAAACCAATGTCAGATTTGACCATAGTACTAGCTAGGATGGTTCATGATAGATCCCGGTACCACATGGTTCGCTGATGGAGTCCCCAGGATTGGAGAACGCCAGTGGAACTTGGGAGAAGCAGTAAAAAAGACCGCGAGAGGACGAGGAGAAAAGACCGCCTTGGCGATTCCCCGAAATAACTGGCAAGTCCGAACGAGGACTCCTGATAGGCATGACATCTATCACACTCAGATGATCTCGGCGGGCTATTGACCTGGAAGAGATCATGTCCGAACAGTGACAAAGGCGGAGACTTTCTCTGTCCAGTCAGTCACTTTACTTATTTATCGTATGATGGGTAATTGGCAATGGATCGGCGGGACGCAATGTGTAAATGAGTACCTATACGGAATAGATGGATGGGATCTGTGATGATACTGGCCAGCCACAGAAGGATTGGAAGAGAGGCATCATTTAAAGAAGGAAATAAACGCCAAGTGTATGAGCATGGACGTTTGCCTGGATAACTATTGACTTGTGCTAGAACTCAAAATACAGCCCTGTCCAGTAAATGATTAAATATAGCATATTTAGAAAGATCATTAGCAAAGTGAAGAGTATTATTTTTATTCCCTGCCTCTGCTGGTGGCTTCTTTGACCCCTTCCCCCTCTTTCTTCCTCCCTGCAGCCAAACCACAACGCTGGGAAACCAAGCAAGCGACCTAAGCGAACTTCCTGCAAAAAAAAGCCCTCCTCAACGTCATCCCATCCTGTCTAACTAGTTTGGTCTGTCTATCCGACTCATACTAGATGCTGTTCTTTATTCTTTCTTTTGATACCGTTAGACTTTCTTGATCATGATCCTGTTCGCCTCAGCTTCTCTCCTTGACTGTCACTCGCCCCGTAGCGTTGGCCGTTAACCTGTCCGGCATCGCAACACTTACGCGCCGCATTGCGATCTTCTCTTGGCCATAATAACTGTGAATGATCCTATATGGAGGCTCTCAGCTCTGGTAGATCTGACATTGACAAGAAATATCGGTACATGACTTTGTCACCCCTGAAGCGACTGCGTTCGACATCCATCACGAACTCTCGAACCAGTTGCCGATCTTTGGATTCATAATTTCAGTCCTTATTTGAAGGAATTTAGAAGTAGTCGACTGTTACAACATTGCCATTAATCCAACCGGGATCCCTCCAGGGGTAATCGATCATCGCCGGTCGATGATCCCCAATTCTCTATCCGGATATTACATCCTCCAGACTCAGCCCCAGCAACATGCGGCATCCACTGTCTTCACAATTTACAGGATCTAAGATTGTGTTTTACTGTCTGTTCTGGGGTGTACATATTGGCATCTTCGCCGCAGGATGGTACGTCTGGATATAGCTCGAGGGACCGGATGACACTGACTGATATGCGTTCAGGTACATACAAGCATCAAACCAGAGATTGCACGCCCTCAATGTATTGAAGTGGTCTGTGTGGTTCTCCAGAGCTGCAGGTCTTGTCTTGACCGTTGATGGGACTCTTATCGTGCTGCCTATGTGCCGGAATCTCATTACTCTCGCCAGACCCCGAATTCGATGGCTGCCCCTTGACGAAGCTATATGGTTTCATCGTCAGGTAGCGTATGCGCTGCTCATTTTCACTGTCATACACGTTGCTTCCCATTATGTCAAGTAAGTCGGACGCGGTTGAATGCTATCTGCAGATTGCTAATCCACCGAAGTTTCTACAACATCGAGAAGGACAAAATCCGCCCCGTAACTGCTATCCAGCTTCATTATACCCAAGCAGCTGGAATCACCGGCCATGTCATGCTTCTATGCATGATGCTTATCTATACCACTTCCCACCATCGCATTCGACAGCAGTCCTTCGAGACTTTCTGGTACACGCACCACCTGTTCGTTCCTTTCCTGCTGGCCCTCTACACGCATGCAACTGGTTGCTTCGTGCGAGACACTCCAGAACCAATCTCCCCATTTGCGGGGACGAGATTTTGGAACCATTGCCTTGGTTACGAAGGTTGGAGGTGGGAACTGATAGGGGGCAGTCTCTACCTCATGGAGAGGCTCTATCGCGAGATTCGGTCCAGACGCGCCACTGTCATCACAAAGGTGATCCGTCATCCATATGGTAAGCGACGCCTTCACACCTGTTACTGTGCTTGCCGTTATCTCACAACTCGTTAGATGCGATGGAAATCCAGTTTCGCAAGGACAGCATGAAATACAAAGCCGGGCAGTGGCTCTTCATCCAAGTTCCCGAGGTTTCCAACACTCAGTGGCACCCCTTCACCATCACATCCTGTCCCTTCGATCCGTATGTCAGTATCCACGTCCGCCAAGTAGGCGACTTCACGCGAGCGCTCGGTGACGCTCTCGGATGCGGCCCCGCACAGGCCAGAGATATGGAAGGCTTAGACCCGCTGGGAATGTACGAAGTCGCCCTTCAGAACGGGCAGAAAATGCCCAAGCTCCTCATCGATGGGCCCTACGGTGCCCCCGCCGAGGACGTCTTCGAGAACGAAATCGCCGTCCTCATCGGCACCGGCATCGGCGTCACCCCCTGGGCCTCCATCCTCAAGAACATCTGGCACCTCCGCTCAGGCCCGAACCCACCCCGCCGTCTCCGCCGGGTCGAGTTCATCTGGGTCTGCAAGGACACCTCCTCCTTCGAATGGTTCCAAGCCCTCCTGTCCTCGCTCGAGTCCCAGTCGGCCAGCGCCGCCGCCAGCCAGGGCAGCGCCGAGTTCCTGCGCATCCACACCTACCTCACGCAGCGGCTCGACGAGGACACCGCCGCCAACATCTACCTCAACTCCGTCGGCCAGGAGGTCGACCCGCTCACCGAGCTCCGCAGTCGCACGAACTTTGGCCGGCCCGACTTTAACCGGCTCTTCACGGCGATGCGTGACGGGCTGCATGACCAGTCGTACATGCCTGGCTTTCATCCGGCCATGACGACGGAGATCGGAGTGTACTTTTGCGGCCCGAATGCGGCAGCCCGGCAGATCCGTGAAGCGGCCAAGACGGCGTCCACCAGTAACGTCAGGTTCAAGTTCTGGAAGGAACATTTCTAGTCTCTAGGCGTTAGGTTGCTGACTTACCGACTTGCTGACTTGCTTTGCTGGATAGAGAACCATCAGCTGCAGGGATATCAAAACAGAGAATCATGAATGAGTTTAACGTGTTACGAGTTATGAATCTCTTTATTTGGTTTTGGTTGGATTATACAAGGTATTTGGGCCTGCATGTATCATAGTACAGAATCTAGCCGTATATGCATCGTTAATTAATTGCTTCCCATACACCACTGGTATCTTATGAATACGATAGTTCATCCCAATACTGAGAAAGGACCAGGAAGCGCMGTTGCTCATCTATAACTGCATACGCTCATCCTCACTGTCTGCATCGTCGGGCATCTGAATCGGCCCCAGAGACATAGCAGCGCCCTCGATCCTCCTCGCCGCAAGTCTGTCCAATTCCTCCTCGATATCGACATGGATCCGCAACTCCTTCTCCACGAGAACATTATACACGCGGCGAAGCTCGTCGAAGCCCATCCCCTCCCCTTTCCTCGGGGAATCTTTGTATCGGTCCCGGACGACGTCCGCGCGCAGGTGCGTAAATGCCAGCATAACGAGTTCCTTGGACCAGGGACAGGCGCGAATAGCGCGGTAGAAGACTTCTTTGGCGCGGTCGATCTCGTGCCGGGAGAGTTCGAAGAGGATGTACAGCTTCCAGAGGGTGAGACTCGAGCGCGCGCTCGATGTAGTGCTGCTGGCGCCGTTCGCGAGTGCGCCTGTGTGTGGGAGGTGTGCGGGGTCGCCGATGGCCTTTTCGAAGGCCGCACGGACGGAGTGTAGAGTGGAGCCTGCGTAGACGGGGCGGACGAGTTCGGTGTAGATCGAGAAGAGGTGGGAGGTTATGGGGATTTGTTGGGCGATTGTGCGGTCGTGGCTGGTGCGCTGTTTTGTTTCTGAGGTGACGTCCCGGACGACTTCGCGGACGCGTTCTTCGATGCGGAACCGGGATTCGTTCCAGGCGAAGAGGGATAAAAATATGGTGTTGTGGGGGAAGAGGGAGATGCTTTCGGTTAGGAGGGAGCGAATCTGAGATGGTTTGTATAGGCTGCTGGTGCGGACATGATAGTAAATAAGCCTCGCCCGGGCTTGGTGTAGCAACTCGGTTGTGAAGGTCCGGAAACTGTGGAATCGCTCAGGTAGCGTGCTGAGACTGGCCATTGCACGGGTATATGCCTCCAAGGCTTTGGTCATATCGAAGGACTGGGACAGATATGCAAGAAGAGCCAGACAATCCGTGCAAGCAACAAATATCCTGGCTTTTCTGGTGACCAGGGCGCGTTCTTGGGCTTCTGAAAGAGACTAAAAGGCGTCAGCTCGTAGCTCAAAAAATACAGGCGGTAGCGACTCACATTCTGTGCTTTCAGCAGACCTGTCGCGCTAAACATGGTTTCGCTAAAAGCGGCCGGGACAGCGTTGAGGTCAACACTGTTCTGCGGTATTGAAAGGAGTAGGTGGGATGCTTGGGCTATATTTCGAGCATTAAGCGATTCCCAGATCCAACTCTGCCACAACATGGCACAATCGACCCTGTCGTGATCGGAAAATGTCTTGCTCATGGAGAGCGTGGTTGCCCAGACACGTTCGGCAGCCGTGTGATTGCCAGAGCGGCATTCTATAAGCGCGTAGGCGTTGTAAAGCCGCAGGTTCGAGCTCCTCTTCTTTAGAAGCGACTTGGCATACTTCCTGGCTTCTTTGCTATTGCACGCTAATTCCACGGCAAGTGCACACTCAGCCAAGTCATCGTTCCACGGATTTGCTTCTACCAATAACCTGAGGGTCCTCCGAGCCCAGTCGGGGTTGATATCGGATCGTGAGAACATCGTAGTCTTCGTCCACGACCGTAGAGACGAAAACCAGGCCTCTTGATCTGCAAACAGCGTATCCGTGGTTTGTACGAAATTTGTATGAGGGAAAGACAATGGGGAGATAGCAGATGGCTCTGTACCGTCGGTCTGGTTCTGAAGAAAACCGTGTATTGTGATCTCTGTGTTACTCATCAACTCATTTCGCAGGAAATTGTCTCCAGTCCAACGACTGGTCGATTCCATGTTCTCGGGTGACTTGAGTGGAGGCAATTGGCAGTAATACATGAAGCTATCGATCAACACATCCGTCGAGTCCACGTCCCAGACAAGGGGTAAAATCTCTCGGAGATCAGATGCAATTACTATACGGTAGGGATCATCTTCGTCAGTCTCGTCCAGACTCCGCGCGGGCAATTGCGCATTGGATATCCGTTCTCTTTCGCAGACGGTCCAGGATGCAAAAACTGATCGTAGATCGACCTTGAACTGAGGTGCGAAGGCCTTGGGTTCCATGAGAGCATTTTCTCCCGATCTCCAACCCTTTGCGCCCAACTCTCCGATTCGAGAAACTTCTGATTCCCAAAAGTCAAGGAACGCTGAAAGTGTTTCTTGGTCCTTTCCGATACTTAAATCCTCTGGACGAAAGAACACTGTTTCAAGAATGGCCTGCCAAAGACCAGCCGCATGCTCTGTGAATCCAGCTTCCCTGATAAAACAAGTCAATCGCAAAAACAAGTAGACCTGCACATGGCCTTTTCCCGGCCCTCCAGGGCCAAGCCTATTCAGTTTCAAGCATTCAAGGTAGGTGTTGAAGCACCTTTCATAGGTAAAATCGAGAAATTCCGTCTGACGAAAATCAAGGTATTTGATCCAAAGGCTAATGAATTGTGAATTCGCTTTCAGCACTGCCTGCCATTGTGACGAGAGCTTCTTCGTGTCCCATAGCTTTGCACCTTCTTCTAATAAGCCCAGCAGAAGGACATCTTTGAACGGACTATCCCCGACCTTTTTCAGCGCTTTCTCGTACAACGACAGCTTGATGTCGGCCAAACTCTTTCTTTCCGCGGCGGTCAAGGCGCGAGATTCCCTTTCTGAACCTCTAAGAAGCAACTCCTGATGTTCTATGAGGCGGAGCCATGCATCAATATCTGTCGGGTTTCGTTCAACGTCCCTCAAAAGTTCTGCGTTGCGAGACTTGATTTCCTCGTCGGGATCCACTCGAAGGCCGCCGTCACTGGAGTCCGTGTCCGACACGGCCTCCAAGTCGCTCGGAATGTCATCTTCGGGTTTCGCTTTACCATGAATCGACCGGTAGGCATATCGCTCATCTTCCGTAGCGATATCTTCTGGCGTTTCTTTGCGCCTCCGGTTGGCTGAAGCATCGAGAGGAAGGAAATCTTTCGAGGCCTCGGCTGCGGCATCCGACAAAGGGTCTTTTCGCAGCCGGAGAAGCTTCGTGCGTTGCTTAGCCAGTCCAGCAAAGGCACTCTTTGACTTGATGCTCTTCGCGTCTGTACGCGAAATGCCCGTCTTCAAGATCAGCGCATCTCCCTMCGCCGTGTCGCGGTCGATTCGGTAGCTCGTGGGAAGACCAAGCACGTTTCCTCGGCCGACTCGGTGATAAAGGGGAACATTGTAGCGATGTAATGTCCCGTAAATCAGGTTGTATTTGTCGCCTTTGCGATCGATAACATACAGATCAGACGCCTCGTCTTCTCCCTCTCTCACGATGGGTTTCGGTGCGCGCGCAGATTCGCGGGTAGGCTCCACATCTCGTTGTTCCGCATCTCTTCGGGCCGGACGATGCTCCTTCCGTTCTCTTCGACGCTCTCGAGATCGCGAACGATCCCGATGGCTTCTATGCCTCGAGTGGTGTTTGGACTTTTCGTCGCGATGGACGGGCTCGTGACTTCGGCGATCAGAAGGCCGATCAGCTTTGGGCGGAGGAGCTGGTGGAGGCTTGAAACTGGCAAACCGCGGGATGGACTTTTTCTCCTTCAGAAATCATTAGTATAGGCGCGAGATACAGTTTGAATTTCAAAAAGATAATCTTACCTGGGAGCCCGAGGAATCCATGCTCCTGGCCGTGAGACATCATCGGGAGACCAAGTGTTGCGGAGTTGGTGTTGGCTGGAAAAACTCCGCTCCCGCTTCCCGCAGCCTTTTTCTGGTTGGAGAAAAAAGACTCCAAAAAAAAGTTGCTTCGACCATTAGTCGATCTTGACGGAACAAACCCGCTCAAGGCAACAACAGGGTTTTCATTTGGAAAAGCGAAGGAGGAGCTCGTTGAGCGATGGGTGTCTAATCTTATTTCTCGACAAAGCACAAAATTCTATCGACAATGGCTTCGTCCCTCGCCGCGCAGCTGTCGCAGATTGCGGCAAAGTCGACAAACCAGCTCGACCTCAAGGCACAGAGAATAGCGCATTCGCAATCTCTGATTTTTGACAGGAAAGTTGCGAGCACTCAGGATTTCGACACGGTCTACCAAATATGTTACGAGKGTTTCCAGGAGTTATGTCAGCTGGATTCACGATTCACAGCATTCGAGCGCACAATTTTCAGCGAGCAGAGCAAGGCCGAAGATCGCACACAGCTGACTGCGGCTCAGAATAAGGAACTCGATGTGGCCTTGGAGGCTTTTCTTGCTCTAGTTGGAGGTCGATTACTGTTGAATCCTGCTGTTAAGGCAGTCGAGTGGCTTGTCAGACGTTTCAGGTGCGAAAGCGGCGATCTCAAAAGGTCAAGTACTCGGTTTCTCGGACGTGTTGGGCTAACAAAGCACGCAGAATTCACGAATATAACACGTCATTTACGATTCTCACATTCCTACCGTACTATACCACCCCGTTATTCTTGAATCTCCTGGCGATCCTTCCCGAAGACCTGACGCCGACCTTCAAAGTCCTGATTCCCTACAAAAAAGGCTCGATCAATCCACCTCGCCATCCACTCGTGCACAGTGCTACTACGAATAAGAACTTCTTGGCGGCATTGAATAGCTATGTCCTCCAGGTGAGCCGGCAGCAGGCGCATCATCATGCGCTTCTGGCATTCTGGGCTGGCATCTACACCGAGGCCGTTGCGGGAATGCTGGATGCATCGCGTTCCGGACGCCGAGAAGTCGAGAAACAGAAGCACGAAGATATCGTTATACGTGTTCTCCCAATTTTGAACGATGGTTTCGCTTTGAAGAGCGTCTCAGAATTGGTCATTGGCTGCTACATGGTTTCCGTAGTGCTTGCACAAAAGTCGTCTCTTCAAGACAAGGTTCTGGATGGTTTGATGGAGGCCGTTGCCGGATCGTGGACGGAAGAGACAGTCGAATCGGGCCTGGTGTGCCTGGCCGTTCTGGCACAGCAAAAGCCCGAAACAAAATTACCGAGACGTGCTCTGAAGGCAATCTTGCGATTGGACGATATTATCAAGCGGTTGACAGAGATAGCGGCACAGTACAAGACCTCTCACCTTCTTCTCGGGGTCATTGCCGGCTGCCTTGACGATCTTCCGAAACAAAAGGACACAGCACGCCTCGATCTCTTGTCCCGGATTTTCCAGAACCAGCTCTTGGGTGAGCCGGAAATGGGCAAGGCTATCGCCTTGGTCCTGGAAGCCACAAGCAGTGTCCACAAGGATGGTGCCATGTCTTTGGATGCTCAGGCACGCCTTGCAGATCTAATTCAAGTATTCAGCCAGTCCGAGTCTCTGCGGCCTATTTTCCAGCAGAAAATTGCAGAGTCATCTTTCGACATTGCTACGCTAGAACATAATCTGCAGACAGTCATTGATACCGCGCCTGCGCCTCGTGCTGTGCAAGATGTCGAGATGGAAGATGCAGAGAAGGAAGAAGAGCAAGACAACTTCTCATCGGCTGTGGAATCCTTGAGCGGGGAGAAGTCATTCAAGGGCTCTTTCCTCAGCACCCAATCCATTCCCGTGTTCGACAGGCTTGTCCAAGCCTTTGCACTGGCGGTTGGCTCGAACGAGAAATGCCAGACCTTCTCCGACCTGGAGGCTCTTGGGAAGAGCGAGGCTACAAAGTCCCCTCAATATCTTTCATTCTTCATCAGAGTCTTCTCTGGTCCGTATCCCATGGGCACACGGGTCACGGCTTTAAATATGATCACCTCTTTCCTCACATCCACCGAGAACCCGAATCTAGACTTCCAGGCGCTGTTGCCGTTCTTGCTAGTTGCTCTCACAGATCCATCGGAACGTGTTCGACGTGAGGCCGCTGCAGCTCTTGCTGCTGTCGGTAGTCTCTACAAGAAGAATAAGAAGGGAGAAGATGTTTGGGCTCGCGACCTCTATGGTCAAGGAGTGCAACCGAAGGACATTCAATGGCTCCCCACTCGTGATGCGCAGAAGGTTTTTGAACGTGCAGTGCTTCCTAGTTTGGAGGAATGCATCTTCGATGCGGCTCACATTGGCAAGGTTTTGGAGAACACTCTTCGGGGAGTCTCGGTCGATGCGAATGCGTCAGAGCTCAAGAAGCCTCTCAGACTGGCATTTTTCACCTTCCTGTGCTCCCATGCCATCCAGCTTCCGTTGTTCACGCCTAAACTTGGCTTGCTCAACATTCTTAACCGCATCGACAAGGCTGGTGGAACCACTCGTACGAAGGAGCTTGAGCCTTTACTGAAGACTTGGCGTGGATTGAGTGAGCGTGAAGTCCAGGATATCTGCGAGAAAGAGCGGGTTCCTGTTCCTGACGTGGAGCGTCAGATGGTGACGATTGTCACACCCAAGGAGAAGGACGCCATTATGATTCTTTTGTCAAATGTGAGCCCTCACTCGGAGTCTCTGCGGCCTTCTTTCATTGCAGCCGTCTTTGGCCGCATAAAGGACATCTGGGCTCGAGTGGCGGAGGATCGTCAGATTGTGGCTGCGGAGCAGCTCTTTGATATCTCGCTTGGCCTCTCCAACTTGCCACTTGTGAATAATTGCAGAGATCTCCTCCGCAACGTTCAGCTCCCAGGCTCTGTACTCGCCCAATTCCTGGAAAGAATACCTGTCTCTCTTACTGACATGGAAGTTCTTGGGCCTGCGCCAAAGAGAAGACGCACTAGTCAGAACAACATGATTGCGATGACTGTGAAGGATGAGGCGGAGTTTGGCAAGGTCATGGAGAAGATGACTTTCATCCTGGAACTTGTTGACAGCTCATCACCCGAGACTCATCCCGAGCTTACCGACGGTCTCTTCCAAGCGCTGGCTGCTCTCCATCACTTCAAGTCACAGATTCAGTCTGGAATGAGCTATTTGCTCAGCTTGACTCTGGGTAGTCTGCTGGCCATTGTCAACCGGTCAAAGGAGAGCGCAAAGGCACAGTTCGATACCTCGGTCATTCGCGCCGACCTGGTCGTGGACTGCGTGCGGACCACTGAGAGCCCTCAAGTGCAGAATGCGGCCTTGCTTCTCGTGGCCGGGCTTTCCGTCATCGCGCCTGAGTTGGTTCTTCACAGCGTGATGCCCATTTTCACGTTCATGGGCTCCAGTGTTCTCAGAAAAGACGATGAGTACTCGGTTTCTGTCATTGACCAGACCATCGACCAAGTTGTGCCCGCTCTTATCCAGTCCTTGCGTGATCAGAAGCGTGACGTGGTGTCTGGAACATCCGAGCTGCTGCTAAGCTTTACAGCTGCGTTTGAGCACATCCCTTCGCACCGTCGTCTGCGCCTCTTCCATGCTCTGATTACGAAGCTAGGAACGCAGGACTTCTTGTTTGCTGTTTTGGCAATGCTCGCCAATAGATATGCCATGGACAAAGATGTTCTTGTCCTGATGACAGGCCTCGTTTCTGATGCCAGTGCTCCTGTTGAGCTTACCGTACGTGTTTATCCTTCCACATTTCTGGACTATTTACTGACCATAAACAGACATATAGCAAATTCCTCGGATTGGTGAGCGACTCGCTCAAGCCGAAGCCTGGCATTTCGCAAGTTCTCCTTGGAATTGGTGGTGATGATGGGCGCGAGCCCCAGAAGGTTGCGGTTGACCTGCTTCGTGACTTGGCCTATCTCTTCAAGCATTCGTCTCTCAAGGTCAAGATGGCCAAGACATTTGCTTCAGAGGACGAAGAGACCATTAGACAGCTCCGAACCCTCTTCTCTCAAATCCTGGAACAGGTCTTGACGATCGGTGATTCCGTGCAGAGCATGAAGCTAGTCAGCCAAGCGAACGGCGACGTCCTGGCCGCGTTGTTCGGCACACTGACACTGGTCGACTTCCTCGATACCATCGAAGTGCTGCTGGAGCGGCCCAACGATGAGCTCCGTCGGAAGGTCCTCCGGCTCCTTGAGGGACGCCTTCGCCAGAACCCAGAACGCGACGGCGCTTCTCAGATCCGGGTGCTTGACTTCTTGCCTACTCTTGTTGACATTGTCCGCAACTCGACAGATATCCTGCTCAAGCATGCCGCGGTTGCCTGTATCGATCGCATCGCCGAGAAGTACGGCAAGAAAGACCCATCAAGAGTTGTCGGTGCTGCCCAGGTCGTGGCCAGCGAGGCCTGCATTGGCCAGACGGACGACCGTATTCGTATCATGGGTGTCTTGTGTCTTGCATCCATGGCTGAGACCCTTGGCCAAGTCATGATTCCAGCACTCCCAGAGGCCCTCAGCCGATCCCTGGCTCTGCTTGAACTGAGCTTGGAAGAGGGCAAGGAGAACTCCCGGTTACACGACGCCGTCTTCTCGTTGTTCTCGGCGCTCTTTGTTCATATCCCGTATATGATCTCTGGCCCTCATCTCGACAAGATCCTTCTTCTCTCTTTCTTGTCAGCCAATGCTGAAGACTGCGAAGATGATAGCMGGCAAGAAGCGCTGAAGATGATGGCTCGAAAGGTTGACATGGCTGCAACGCTGGGAGCGGTTGATCGCAACTGGCAGTCCGCCGTGCAGGCCGGGCCGGTCGCCACGAAGGAGACGCTGGAGGTGGTCAGTCTCGCCGTGGAGAAGCATCCCAAATCCGCGACTGGCAAGAATGTTGGGGTCTTGTCGAGCATCCTGTTCAAGGCATTCGATTTACGCCGGGAGCAGCTTGCACTGGGAGGGAACGCCACATTTGATGCAGCCGACGTGGATGAAATCGAAGATGCCCTCAACGACGTCACGATCAAGATGATCTACAAGCTGAACGATACCACCTTCCGTCCTATCTTCACGAAGATGCTGGATTGGGCCACGTCTGGTCTACCAAAGAAAGACACCCAGGGCAGCTGGGCCCGACTTACGACGTTCTACAAGTTCTTGGAAGCCTTCTTTGGAACTCTTCAGGTACGTTATCACTTCTCATCAAACGTTTCACCATCGCTAACAAAGATAGTCTATCGTCACTGGTTACGCCAGCTATATCATCGAAAGCGTGGTTTCCGTCCTTGGAAAGGCCAGTCCAGCCGACAAGAGCACCAAGGCTCTATGGTTGGCCACAATGCGTTTGCTCCGCAATGCCTTTGAGCACGATCAAGACGGTATGCCTTTCCCCTTCTCTTCTTCTCTCCATCAGATCATGCCGAAGCTAACTATCGCAGAATTCTGGCAATCCCCCTCGCACCTGAACAAAATCTCCACACCCCTCATCAACCAACTCGCCCACGCCACCAATTCCTCCACGGCAGCCACCGTGATCGCCGAGGCCGTCCCCGCCATCACCGAGCTCGCCGTCGCCGCCGACTCAACAGACAACCACAAGGAACTCAACACCGCCCTGATGAAGTTCCTCCGTCCGTCCGCGGGTCCGAACGGCAAAGCCGCTGGAGGCGAGAACCCGCACACGCGCCTCGCAGCGCTCAAGGCCGAGCAATCGCTCACCGAGCAGCTTGGCGAGGAGTGGCTTGCTCTTCTGCCTGAGATGCTGCCGTATATCAGCGAGCTGATGGAGGATGAGGACGAGAACGTTGAGCGCGAGGTCCGCAAGTGGGTTAAGCAGATTGAGAACGTCCTGGGTGAGAAGCTGGATGATATGTTGACGTAGTCGGGTTTTGGGATAGCATATCTGGCGTTCAAAATGGTCTTTGATGTATATATGCGAAAAGTTGGTCTATACCATTTCGTCTTACTTGCAGTCTTGTATAGAAATAGATCTTTATTGGATTCAAAGTCCTTGCAGCGTAGGCTGTCGTAGTCTTCATGCAGTTAAAAATGACAGGAAGCAAAAAAAGAAAATGACAAGGGTGGGATTCGAACCCACGCCTCTTGCGAGACACGGAAACTGTGTAACAGTTCATAGGTCCAGTTCCTGAACCGTGCTCCTTAGACCGCTCGGACACCTTGCCATACTTGGAAGATTCTTCATAATTTTAATATAACTCACCATTGTGATGTCACAGCCTCCTTGTTCTCTTGCCCTAAGTTCCTTGTTCTCCCTAGGATCCTTGCTCTCGGACGATTCATGATAAATTCAGTATTGTCCCATTTACATTCTACTAGAATCAGTATGTCATGATCTATGGATAGATTAGTAGAAGGGTCAGTTGACTTCCTCCCTTCCATGCCGCAATATATATACATATATCCCACCGTCTACAACGATGGCACTGTCAAACTAAACACATTCCCGGGGTCAAACCCCCTCTTCAGATCTCTCACCACCCCAGCCTTGTCTCCATACACCCTGCGCAGCACCTCATCAGATGATGCAGCAGCAGCAGTACTACATAACGACATATACGCCGTCGGGAGCACATTCCCCGGATCCGCGCGCTCAATCCCCCGCGCCATCTGCACAGCCCACTCTATCGCCTGCGCGCTGAGCGTCTCCTCCACCGCGTACCCCAAAATCTCAAACATGTAGTGCGGCTCTCGTGCTGCGAAGACATTAGCGTGGTCTTGTGTCGAGGCCGACGAGCCCCGCAGCTGATGTATGGAGAGCATAGTGCCCGGGTCTGACGGCATCGTCGCGAGATGCTGCCCGATAGTCTCCGCCACGGCGGGGGTGATGCTGCGGATGCTGTGCGTGCTGGGGGCGCCGTAGGCGGAACTTGGGACCACGGCGTCGATAGAGGCGAGTAAGGACGGGATGGTGGTTTCGGCGACGGTGTTGGCGAGGGCGGGAGCGAGTGCGGCGATTTTGGCGGCCCAGGCGTGGCCGGTAGCTATATCATGGCTGCTCCAGACGAAGGTGGCGGTGAGGAGGCGGCCTGCGGAGGGGCTGTTGAAGGCGATCTGTTGGACGGAGAGTTCGGGGGGGAGGGGGTCTGAGTCGAGGAGGGAGCGGTAGGCGGCGTTGAAGTCGATGAAGGTTTTGGCGATGTCGGCTGAGTCATAGATGATGGCGCCGGCTAGGAGCTGGGTGGGGGTGTTAGCTTTGGCATGGGGACCAAGGGGATGGTGCTTACGGTGGTGAGTGGGTAGACTTTAATGGTGAGGTCGATGATCACACCAAATAGACCTCCCGCGCCGCGGATGCCCTGGAGAAGGGCCTCGTCGGCGGCGATGATCTCGCCGTCCGGGTTGATGACGGTCGCGCCGAGGATCTGGTCTGCACCTAGACCCCAGTGCGAGGAGAAGGGCCCGTACCCGCCGTAGATGGCCCAGCCGACATAGCCTACGGAAGGGATAGTTCCTGTCGGGGTGGCTAGCCCCTCTGCCCAGAGCCTGCTGGCGAGCTCTCCCTGTAAGACGCCGCCTTGGACGATGGCGGACTTGCGATCGGGTGCGACAGTGACGGCGTTCAGAGCTCGCAGGTCAATGAGCAGAGCGCCGTCGACAATGGATCGGCCTTCCAGGTTGTGGCCGCCCGAGCGGAGTGTGAAGGGCAGAGACTGGGATCTGGCGAATCTGATCAAGGAGGCCACGTCGGAAGGGGACTGCGGCTGGACGATGGCCAGCGGGTTGTCGCGGCGGGAGCTGTTCCAGATCTTACGAGCGGATGGATACTCGTGAGAGGAGGGTGGGATGTATTTGATAGCGGGACGCGCCTGGAGGAAGGACTCCAGGGCGGTTAACTGGGTCGTGTCTGCCATGATGTGATGAGTGGATGGGTTGGCACGAAGCCACGGAAAGAGCAGATAATTTATATGGGCTGTAAGGATGGAGTCATGTTGCTGCAACCCCTCTATCTGACATGCTCGACCACAGCTGTGGTCTGCTAGATGTGCCCAAGATCCGGGGACGGCTGTAGCAGAGCATCCACCACTCTCTGTAGCTGTAGATGATAGGACAAGAGGACGTCAATAGTGCCAATCATTCAGCCTCCTGGTCACCAACATGTTATTCCTCGTCTAATTGGCTCCAGCCATGGCTCCCAGTGTCTCTAACTTTTTCTCACCGTAAGCACTAACCACAAAGTGGACAGCAGCTTACATAGATGAAATTGACCATCTCAGCGATCACGACTAGGTGCTTGGTGGCGGGGACGCCAAATCCATACTTCAAGCCGGATGAGAAAGAGCTGAGCACCAAGGAATGCGACGAAGTATGGCACTTGGCTCGTTCCAGAAGTTGAGGTATATTCAACCGTATCGCGCGCAGAGAGCAAGTCTACACACATAGAAGAGCAAGTCTACACACATAGAAGATTCTTACATACTGGGATCCGACAAGTAAGAAGTCGTGTGCAAGACGAAATTGGTATTTGCAGAATAGAGACTAGTATTTGTCCTTACCTTACTCCTGCGATGTTGTAGAAATACGTCATGAGCATCCGGGTGCCTAAGAATCATTCATCGGAGTTACCTACCTTAAGTCTCGCTTTTGCCTATATAGCATAAAGTGAAGTATATTGTTACCTAAAGGCAAGGTGTCCGAGTGGTCTAAGGAGCACGGTTCAGGAACTGGACCTATAAACTGATTCATCAGTTTCCGTGTCTCGAAAGGGGCGTGGGTTCGAATCCCACCCTTGTCATATTTTTTTTGTTTTTGTTTTTGTCACTCTGAACTATATATATTCTTCTTCTTGACATTGCCAACGACGAGGAAATTATAGACGATATATAGTGGTTATGTTGAGTTGACTGGGACAATTGCAGGAAATGTGGTAGTGTTTTGTGGAAGTGAACAGGCTCCTTACTTGCTCCAAGGGCAACAGTTATAAGACGATAGTATGATGATGGATTGATTATATTATTATAGGAATATCAAAGCAAACTGTCCAACATAAACCAAACTAATAACAATGCCATGGGATCGCCCAGACTTTTGAAGGAAACATCAATCTATGGTATCAAGATGTCAATGGGTATATCATACAAGCAATCAAAAACGCCATGCGATTAGTAATGTCATCATATCACTCCTTTTTAATCATCAACCAGCAGCAACTCGCCGCGGTTGCTCGCTCGCCACCAACGGCGCCAGGATGGCGGAATACTCCGGTGGAGGCGCAATGGGGTTCGACTCTGCTAGGGGTAACGACTCGCAGGAGGAGATGGACGGGGGTGCAACGCTGCGAGGGCTGAAGAACTCGGCGTCCACCTCTTCCAGGGTGATCTCGTGGACCCCGTACTTAGGGCGCGCATCTGCCTTGGGCTGGCAGGTGAGCTGAAGTGGAACGCGAAGGGAGGCGGTGGGAGTCAGGATGTTGGCGTTTGGAGTGTGGTACGAGATGCTCAGGTCGAGGGCGTACATTCGGGAAATGAGGCAGGAGTGGAAGGTCGGAACAAAGGCCTTGGACGCGGGAAGGGAGACGGGCACCACCACCGAGGCGGTATAGTAGGTGCTCCCCCCGAAAGAGGCAGAGGGCCCCGTCAGCGAGTCAGACGAGGAGGTAGACTCCAATGAGCCCCGGCGGACCGGGCTTGAGTCCGAGTGCTTAGTCCACTGGGCGGAGGCGACGCAGAGGGTCGACAGGGGCAGAGTCTCGGTGTAGACACTCTTCGCGGCCTGCGCCCACATGGTCGCCGACAGGGCGGATGGGTAGTCTTCCCAAGGGACAGCGCCGTAGTATGTCGATACGCGCAGTCTACTCCAGACGCTGCCGAGCCGGGGCGGAGCTTCGTTGCCAACGGGATCGAAGCGCAGGTGGATGGTTGCCACGGTCCCGACGGAGTCCTTGGTCTCGCACTGGGGCGCAGTCAGCTGGACTGGTTTGGGCTGCGAGGCGGCCACAACCAAGCGGCCCAGCTTGCCGCGCATGAGTCCGCGCTTGACGTCCTTCTCCTTGCGGGTGCGGTAGGCGTCCTCGCCCTCGGAGACGTTGAGTGGCGGTTCCTCGTCGACGGTAGGGATGATGCGCACTTTCTTTCCCGCCGAGGCGAGTGCCTTGCGCGCGCCGCTCTCACCGGCGGGCTTGCGGTGCACGACAACCCGGATCATATACGAGATCTGGCACATCTCGGGCACCATGTCGTCCAGCAATGTCTTTCCGTTGCTGGCGAGCATGGGGTCCCCCAAGGTTGGGGGCAGCAACGTGTGGGACCGCTCCACATGGACGTTGGTCTTGGAGTGGGTGCAGACATGGGGGAGCAGCCGATCGGGGACGACAAAGGTGAAGGGGAACTGGTAGGAGCGTCCACTCTCAAGAATGCGGGGAGTTGGGTATGCGGCGTCATCAATGGGCTGGCGCAGCTTGAGGAATGTCTGATAAGCCCCTGTGCGGCCGGGGTAGGCTGCCCGTTCGACCGACGTTCTTGCTGTTCCTATTCTCGTCTGTGAGCATGTATGCAACCCTGGCACCTGACGGGGAAGTCGCACCTTCGAAAGTGATTTCGACGTCCTCAAAGCGCGTGTCATGGTCTACTTTGATGGTCACGGTTCCTTCGATGTGGTCCTTGGTGGTATACGAGCTAACCAGCCCGTCGGTCTGATTGGCAAGGTCGATTTGGATCTTGGGACGAGAGCGTCCGGTCAGCGACTCCAGGGAACTAGATCCCCGAGTGATGATCGAAGCCGCCATTGAGAGAGCTGATCAATCGATGAAGAGGTCGACGTATAGAAACGCAGCGCCTCGGCGCAGTTCGATCCGTTTGTATATGGAAGGAAAGTACAGACGCAGCCCAAGGGATCACGCAAGTTATATTTACTCCGATCAAAAATAATAAAAAAGGAAAGCGACGGAAATTGCCGCGGAAGCTATGACTGGAGAATCCAGGGATGGGGTGACGGGGTTATTGCTGTTGGGTAATGGAAAAGAGCAGCAGTGGAGCCCTGAGGGTCTGTGATAGTTCTATACAAGAGTAGTATAAAAAATAGTCGAGATGGAACTACAAGGGGAGCAAGGGAAACAATACATGTTTATAAAGGCAGGAGAAACCCCCATCTGTATGGTCAAATTGACAACAGCATGGATTGCTAAGCATCGTTGAAGGTTCATGAGTCACTTGCATCAAGAAAGTTCAAATTCCATCCTAGATTGGAGGTGAAGAAAGTATGGAAATGCAGCAATACGGGGAAACGATCAGCCAAGGATTGCGACATCTGGACTGACCGACTCAAAAGCTTGGATGGATCATGAGAACATCAGCCAGAGAAAGCCACAGAGCACGTGCGGTCTCAGGACAACTTCCCGATTGATGGATGGCCGATGAGGTAGTACCAAATTATACTCGATCATGGTGATGGATGATGGAGGAACAAGAAGTTGGGAGCAAAAGAAGCATTACCCACCTGCGATGGGAAGCAGCCCTGATTGGCCAGTTTGAGCGAATGACTAATGTTCATGTCTGCGCCCTTGCAATGACATCCCTCTGCTCGTATTCCTTTCCTTAGGAATACACTGAGAATACTGTAGAAATAGCTAAAGCGATAGAAGATTACAAATTCATCAGAGGATGACGACACCAGAAGAAGAAGAGAATCAATAGAATGGTGATCAACCTGGTCTGTTCAGCATAGTATGATGATCACGCAACAATGATTGTCTTCCATAGCTTCACTATTTGTTTCACCTCTACATGATTTTCCCAAGTTTTCAATAGGATTGTAATGAGGACCTTGATACTAGTATCAAATACAATACCGGAATTATTCCTGCTTGATTATTCACGCCTTTCATCGACATCATGACTCCTCGGCACGCCTGTGGCTGCAGTGCACGCCCTTTGATGCGCCTTTCCGACTAGCTTGGAACACGGCACCGGCTAAACGAGAAAAAGTCAAATATGTCTTGTCATCAATTTTGTGTCTCCCGCCTGATAATAACATGAAAATATTTGATAACTTGGATCAATTCTTGACTGCGTTTTCGCAATTGAACTGTTTTACCTCTTATCTACTATGATCAAAGACGAGGATAACCGAGCGAAATTCTAGAATTGGCTCTATGGAGCTAMTCCAGTTCTATCCGCTCTTAGCCGAAGTATAGACCACCGACAGTGTCTCCGATTAAGCACCTGCATATAAAAGTCTGAGACTAGACAGTTTCCCGATCACGCCAGGTGCCGACTTCCAGCTCGGCGGAGTTGGGTCCCGTCTCCCCACGCCTTTCCGTCCGATGGATCCCCCGAGTCAAGGTTTGGAAAGACGACAAGCTGGAAAAATAAAATTCATTGGCCCTGTTGAGCGGCCATCAATCGATATCGACCTGCGGTCCTCACCCGAGTCTTTTTCCCATACATCACCATCGGGATGATGGTCATGGTGATCGCCAGACCGATAAAGCCGCAGGCGATGAACATGTTGGTCAGACCGCTCCGCTGCATCCAAGGGGAGATACCAAAGGGAACTCCAATGCTGATGGCGTTGCGTAGAAACGCAACGCCTGTGAAGGCATCTCCGGTGATCTAGCACCGACCCCTTAGTTAGAATAACCCATGCAGCAGCAGTGAAAAGGGTTGGGAATCGTACATCAACATAGCTGTCAATCACCAGCGTCAAAGCTGCATCGCCAATACTGCCCAGTCCAAACCCAAACAGTGCCCCGCCGATGCTCGGCCAGATCCAGTGCATGCCCTGATGAGAATCAGTTGTCGGTCAGGCTGAAGACACAGTCGTCGGAACGCTTACCCTGACAACTGTGGCCCCAAACATGATTGGGCCCCCACAAAAGGCTAAGGCAGGAAGATGAAGAATGTATAGACGCATCTCCGGCTCGTAGTAGCCCTTATTGCGCCGTGCAAAGAACAAGATCGACCGATCCCCAAAAAATCCCCCGTAGAACGACCCAATCAAGTTGCCAACGAACGGGCCGATACTCATGAATCCAACCTGCTGTGCAGTGAACAAGTAAGGAGGCATAGGAAACACCAAAGAGATCACACTCGCCATGATGGTTAGCAACGCTATGCCGCAGGCATACTGCACGGCGCAGAACAGGACGGCAGGGAACGTTGTTAGCACCATGAACGGACGATAAAAGTACGGCCAGATCGGCTCCGGGGTGTAGGTCCACAGACTGAGCCTCTGTCTCCAGGTCTTCATGGGGATGGTGTGATCAAGTTCATGGTCCCCTGCCGTATTGGTTCCCACTCTACTCGCAGGACATTCGAGATCGGACTTGCGATCCGCCTTGAAACTGTCCACGGAAACCTGCTGAGCATCCCCAACAGGTCCCGCGGACGCGCTCACGCCTTCAATCACCTTGGAGTACTTGGTCTCCTCGTAGAGAAACATGAACAGAACGAAAAGAATCACATTGCAGATGCCCATTGTCCGATAGCATGCCCGCCAGCCTTGTCGTGTTGCTTGAGTCCCAGCCGCCATGGGAGAGAGGAAGCTCTGTTATGGCAAAAATGAGCGTGGCTGCGACACTGCGACGCGGGCGGTTTTACTTACCCCAATCATCACCATAGTCATGTACAGAGCATTCATTCCTCCGCGATGATGTACGAAGAAGAGATCGGCGATCTAGAAGCATGAGCTCCGAAACACTCAACCAGCAGGAAACGTACCGTGATCTGAACAATCGATTCATTTGTCGCCCCGGCGAGTCCCTGAAGCAAGTTGGCGATATACAGCTCCGTGAGGCTCTCCAATCTTGATATCCAGAAAGACGTCACCAGCATCAACGCGGTCGAAACCAGGTACACAGGTCTTCGTCCGAATTTCTTCGCCAGCGGAATGAATACCACACATCCCATTGAAAGACCGACAAAATTAACTGACAGGGCCCAGTTGAGCTGGGTATAAGTTACTTGCAGGTCAGGGACCATCAACTGCCAAAAGATGGCCTGGATCGTGAGTCTGGAATGCATTGGTGACCGCATCAGCTTGGATCTAGTTATCAACAAGGAGAGACTTACGCGGTGAATATCAGCGCTGTCACCGCCAGCACCAGAGTAAAGTTGCATGCCTTCCGCGCTGTACTCCAGTTCTAACGCTACAGTTAATAGCTGTTGTAGGAAGGTCCAAATGACTCACCAATGGCTCATTGGGATCCCTGGTGGGCACCGGACTGAGTAGGATCCGACGTTGTCCATGATTCTCTGCGTCATCATCTGTACCTCAGTTAGACTCGACGATACAGCAAAGTGAGATGAATACCTACCCCTGATCAAAAGAAAAGTCCCTGGAGGAAGATTGCCTTCCTCCTGGCGAAGGCTTGGTGGTTCATCGCATTGACTGTTTGCCATCAATGCTGGATGGTATCGGTATAGATGCAAAGATAAAGGAAAACTTTAGTAGATTTTCCCGTCTGTTCGTCAAAGTCGAGCCTGTTTGAATCTGCTGGTGAAGCATCGCTTCGTATCTAGTGGGCAGCCAATGCTTGATAAATGATTTCAAAGATGCTGCCTGTATCTGCGCTCGCAAGCCTAGCGAACAACTGGCGCACGTATTCCAATAAGACTCTTCAGCCAAATCTCAGGAAGCAAATCCAAACATCGCCAAGATGCGGGGAAATGCGTGGGTTCAGATAAGAAACAAGCTACCAAAAACCGAGATGAGTCCCAATGAAGCCATAATCCACTCGGGGGGGAAGATGTTAAGGTTCATTCGAAAGTTCGGTTACCGTCTCGGCAAAAGGGGGTCGACCTGCCGTAAAGGGATATTCGGCCTCATGCATAGTCTGCATCTGCGATTCTAAATTACTTGATTCGTTTGAAATGCCGAATGCTCTCCCCAAAACGAAACGCGCTGATCCTATTTGGATTGCTTCATGGAAGTAAATCCAACAAGGCAAGTTGAGGCACTCAATCTCGCCTTCAGGAAACAGTGCCCTAATGGACATTTACCCCTCGTGAAAATCGAGCTGTCCTATTTTTTCGATACTGTGGAAGCAAGAGCTGAGGCAAATGGAAGCTTCTCGACTCCTTGACAAACCTCCCAAAACTCAAGAATACGCCCGCCAGCCCGAAGTTGGAGCTCTTTGGCGTCTACAATGGTACAATGGATTCCCGACTTGATGGCAAACAGCACACTGAGTGTAACTTATTCGATGTAGATCCACGATCAGTCTTCGCTGCAGCCAATACAATTACTCTCTCCTTCGCCCACGATCCTTAATCAGATGTTTGCGTCCGCTCGTTGCCCTATGGACGCGAGAAACATTCAAATGGCAGTATCACCGGGTTCGGTGGGCCATGGTAGAAGCTGTTGTCTTGTAATCCACCACCGTCGCACAGCTGTTCCGAAATTTCCCATCTAAGCGTCTGCAATTGGAGCATGCTGCATCAGGGGCCACAGAGCCAAACGGCGACGGCATGGTTGGGGCGACGCAGGAACAGTTGTTCTGTTATTTCCGCCTCCGATCCATCTGAAACGGGCGCTGGGTAGGATACATTTTGCTTGCAAACTGCGGTTGCTAGATACTTTCAGCCCGGTTTGCGAGAAGGGTACCGGCGAGCAGGTGTACCGCTAAGTGTCCTGAGCAAGCTGTGCAAAAATAACCAGGCAGATCATCCAGAGACTTGAGAGAATGATAAACAGCTCATAGCGACGCCATTAACCGAGTCAAGAAGCAGGATCGATCGAAGAACCTGTGGTACCTGGAGGCGATCACTGTTCATCCCTCCCTCCAAGTACGAGGCCTCGGAAAGAAGGTCATGGCTGGGTCTTAGACTATGTTAGGCACGAGCCCATTATACTCGAACGTACGAGCGATAGCAACCTCACATTCTATAAGTGTCTCGGATTTGAAGTCGTCGACGAGGTTGAGTTAGTCGAAGATGACGAAGCAGTGGGATGGTGTTTTTGGTTGCGCCAGAACCCGCACACTGAGCATTTGKACAAAATATATATCCACTTCTCAGATAAGTCCCAGCTCTACTCCTCGTGCCTGCGCAAGGTCGTGGATGCTGACTGTTCCGCTCCTGTAACGCCAGTATTCTTCAAGTAATTCCAACTCAAGTTGGCACTGCTTCCTCCAAGTGGGCTCGTTCGAGCTCCAAACTAAAGTGCTCCGTACAAACTGCTTCAATGCTGCATCATCATTCATAACGTCAGTCTGTAAAGCGGCAATAAAAGTCGGGTGGGAAAGGGCATTCATGGTCAACGTGTCCCTTCTGTCCTGTCCTCCTGATGCTCGGTGAATAGCGTCAACGCAACTGAGTAATCGGGAAACAGTCACAGCAGTTGAAGGGAGCGTCCGATGCGGTTGATTTCTCCCTTCCAGGGGTTGTAATCTTCCCTCTCCCGAGCTCGACGGTGAGCATAGTTGACTATCGCGGACGGCTAGAATCCCCGCTAATCGATATGCTTCCCATAGCTGACATTGGAGAAAGCTTCCCTGGGCACCAGGCCAGTTCTGGAAGTCCTCCTCTGTCGCACCACCCTCGCCAATGCAGGAGAAGATGTCGATCAAGGATTTTGGCAAGCCACTCACGACCTCAACTTCATCCCGTCCAGATGATCCTTCCGAGGAGACTCGGTTACGACAATGCCGTCTCCAGAAACCTAGATGCGGGTGCTGGCGTCCGATAGAAAAAGTAGGAAGGTCCATAATTCCCATGACCTCGAAAAGATGAGCGCGAAACGGGGTCTTTTCATCCCGCGCATTGTCAACGTCGTCCAATTGGAGGATGCCGTGCATCCCTCGTAGATGCATTGTCCACGGAATTCCGTGCATTGTCTACCTTCATGAGTGACTTAAATCAAGGGAAGTAAAGGATCTGTAAACTTACTCCAATGGTGCATAAGAGTAGACCAGCAGTCATGGTGCCGTCTTCCAGGTACATTTCGCTTCTGGCGAGCTCATTGCGAAATTTATTCAACCCGGCGTCAAAGTACTCGAAAAAACGAGGGTCCAGATCCGCGGTCAATGAGGCTTGTAGCGTGATACAAATGAGGTATAGAGCTTCCGATTGCTGGCACAGCCTTGGAAGATGTGTTCTAAAGAGGTTACTCTCATCATGAACTGTCGTCGAGTGCAAAATATTGATTCCCGATGAAAGAACTGTTTCTATCATCAGTCACGCATAGCGGAAGGGACCAAAGGAGTTGTCCTCACATTCTTGAAATAGTTGCTCGTCATCAGATCTCTTACCAGGGATCAGCGAGGAAGGTGGCACCTTGCATGACTCAGAATCTATCACTAGGGTTAAAGATGCACATGCTGAGAAGGGAAAGAAAATCAATTACCTTTTGCCCTATCATCCGTAAGAAAGGGAGGAGCTTCTTTAGGACAGCTTGCTAGTATCGTACATTGTCGTCGTCTTTCTCGACTTCGATCTCGCCGTCGGCCCTTGGCTCGAGGTGGTACGGAGGATTCTACTGGCGTATCTGCGCCGGTGAAACGGCCTCGCGATGCAACGCCCATTCCCCAGCGCAGCCGTACCTCATAACCCTCGCATACGAGCCCTCGCTCTTTGCAAGCATGACATGTAGGGCGGGTCCGATCACATTTGCGACGTCTAGATTTGCAGGTCCAACTGCAGGGCCAACGGATTAGTTTGCTTTGACGCGACCTAGGGGATGTGATTTTCTCACCATCCGTGATGAGTTCGGCGATTTGGCGTCGACATGCCTGTTATGGGTCGTGACTCGTGAGTGTGAAGGGTGCATAGGCGCTGAAACGCTGGTCCCCCACAGTAGCTTAAAAAGCCGTTGATCGAAATGCGGGGAGGATAACCCCCAAGGGTCGACCTGCCGTTTTGAGAATAGGTCCAAACAGACCCACGGCTCAGGTCGATAGAACTATCTTCACAAAGTATCAGGTCCCGATAAGAGCATTGCTCGTTCGGACGATGGGATTTGTTGGAGCTTACTCACAATCCACCCGTCTGGCATCCATACCATATTGCAAAGACCTTGCAGGGTCTTTAGAACGCTTCGAAACGACCATGCAAAAACGACCATGCATAAAGGTTCAGATGGTCTTGAAAGTATGATTTTAAGCGGAACAAGCTTGCAAAGATGTCATTCCAGACCCCCCTGTCCAGATGCACGTGTTATTCCCTCTTTTGGGAAACTGGGGGAATTCCAATATGCCGGTGGTGTTCAGCAGGAGTGTGGTATTCCGTACGCCAGTTTGCCCAAGCGATGGACTAGATCCACTGTGAAAACCTCTTGGAAGGGCGATAATCATAGTGGGACGAAGTAGGGTTGATAGACTTTCTTGTATTTGTGATGCTGTTGCCAGCACAGCAAGAAGTGAAGAGAAGATGAGAAAGTCCGATCGTACGCGCAAATGCGGAGATTGCTCGCCATGGGAGATGGGAAGACCTGGAAACGATGACTTACTGGGTGGATGCGTTGGCAAATAAGAGAATGAACATGGGCAAAGGAGTGCAAGTCGCCCATAAACAGACAGACTAGCTTAGAGTACATGACTTGACAGTCACTAAATTTTCAACTCTCTCTCTGAAGATTCCCCTATCTTTCCACTACCTGATTAACTACAAGTAAGATGATATACCATCGATATCACGAGGTAGAACAGATTTCTTGATCCTCTTCTCAGTCACCAGCATCTGCTCTGGAAACCAGGAGAGATCTGCGGATTCTGTCTCCCGCAGTTCATCATCATAAGCCAGTAACATCGTTCCCAGAGCTTTTCCGCACAGCCATGCATACACCATTCCCTCCCCTGAAAATCCGGCAGAGATCCATTCAGCTCCTTGGCCTTTCTCTTTCTGTTCTCTTTCAGTCAGAGACACGGGGAGTTGCCCTACCCACGGGAAGCCGTCTGCGCTGAAACCCATATTCCCTGTCCACATCTTCTCCACACTGGGACCTGGAACGCTGCCCCAGTTCTCGCGACCAAAAATAGCGCTCAACGCCCCAGAGAGATGGATATCAGCGTACAGGCTCAGCTCCGAGTCAGTGGAGATACCAAAGTCGCCAATACCACCGAGCTCGCCTTGAGCAAACCCGCCTCCGAACATCATCATCTCGCCTGCCTCGGACGGTGGTAACTGGGTTAGATAGTCGAATCCCCGGTCATAGTAGAAAATCCACGAATGCTCGGTTCCCTGATTGCGGAACTTGCTTCCGGGTGTCTGCGCAGACATTTGCCCTCGGACTGGGTAAATACGGCCTCTCAATCCGGGAACAAGATGGCCGACGTGAGCGTTGGTACAGTGAACGACGTGACGAGCGCGGATAGTGCCTCTGGTCGTTTCAATCGAATATCGCAACGGAGTCACCTCTCCAGATGTAATATCACGGATAGCGGTCACCGGTGTATTCGCTTCAATTAGCAGATCCTGGGGGAATTCGCTGCGCAAGCGAGCCAAAAGTCCAGTGATAAATCGGTAAGGCCAGATAGCACCAGCCGGACCAGCGACGATACCTCGAGCATGAGGGAGGCAGAATTCCTGCACGTTTCAGCAAAAGCAAATTCAGACGAGCCTACTGAGTGAAAGGAAATCTGCAACTCACCTTTGGAATCTCATTTCTCTCATATGCTCTCCACTCGACGGTTTCATCAGGCAAACACTCTTTCAAACGTTGCAGGCGAGATACAGCCCCTTTCCAGCCTCTCTCATCAAAATACACACATAGAAACTGAACTTTCCTCGCTTGAGTCTCCTCCGTCAGTCCATACTCATCGGCGGTCTTTAGGATCTCTTGCAGATGAGCCATTCGAAACCTCACGACTTTTTTGGCCGCTTCAAGTCCCAGCGATGCTTCGAGCCCTGCAAACTCTTCCGCTGTCTCAAGGATATGACCGCCATTGCGGCCAGTGGCACCACTACAGACATCGCGCGCTTCCAAGATAACAACAGCTGGTCGGGGTTTGGTGTCCTTCCCAGACTTGCGGGACTTCAGCAGAGTTCTTGCAATTGAGGTTCCCGTCACTCCAGAACCAATGATGACTACTTCTGCCTGAGATGGCAGCTCAGTAGACTGCGCTTGGGCAATTTCGGGATGTGGAGTTCTGAGCCAGAAAGAAGAAGTCGGGTGAGTTGAAGGTAGACCGGGGTCGGAAAAGGCACGGTCGAGCGCCTGTTGCCGATCTTCAATCGGAATAGCAGGATTGGAGAGTATAGCTTGAGCGAACGCCATGATGAGAGCTGATATTGGGTCAGTGCTAGAGTGGAACTAGATTGCAGCGGGAACACGCAGTTTATCAGGCTGCCAAGTTGAAGTAGCTGCGATTCAAGTATGCAACTAGCGAGGGCAGTCCTATCAGGCCATTTCAAGCCACTGCATAGTCCAATCTCGGCGACTCGGACGTTCCAGCTAATCAGAACGGACGAGTTTTGAGTCTTTGTATGCCTCTGTACTACAGCCTAGCATCCTGGCTGATATGCTTCATTATCAAGGGTCGACCTGCCTTCTAGGGGCAGTAAGTCTTGACCCCACATCGTGTGGAGAATGGACCAGCATTGTCGGCAATCATCTCGGATTGAATATCGTCTGCCACAACCAGTCACTGAGGGTCGAGTTGCTCTTCCTACATATTGTCTCTTGCATTTGGTGACCTTACGAACATTTAAGGCGTGATAATGCAGCTCGCTCTGAGGTGCTACTTGAAAGCTTGCTCCATGACAAGTCAGAACTGCAATCCGGAAATCGTTCCAGAGCCAACGCCTCGACTCTCACTTGTCTACACTCGACCTCATCATGGGTGCCTAAGCTGCTAATTTTCTGCGTAATGCCTACTACCTAATAGGCCAAAAATGCGACGACCAGGCCTGCTATTCCTCTATCGTCTTGAATACACTGTCAAAGAAGAGATTCCAAGTCATCACACCCCGTTTCCAGGATGAACAGGGTCTCGGGGCCGCCAGCATTATAGATCAAGATATCCGATAGTATCGTTATCATTCTATGTCCATACATATATACCCACATCTCAGTCATACCCTCAAGCTTGCTCCCGTCTGCCTCACTTCAACTCAATCCCATTCTTCTGCCAAACCTGTGCATCAAACCCCTCCATCAACTCCCTATACTCCTCCCCAGCACCCACCCACCCCTTAATTCCTCCCTGCAGCACCAAGCTCTCAATCGAGTCATCTTTCCGGTCCTCAAGGTAGTCCACAAACCAATTCGCAGCTCGAGTGCCCCTCCCCGCCGAAGAGCCTATATAAGCATGAGCAATCAATCAATCAATCCCCGAGAATCAAGCACAGCCCTGCACATCCTGCAAGGCCAAACTACATACCGCAATACCAGATAATGTACTTCACCCCTCCCGCCCGGAGAAGATTATACACCGTCGGCAGAGAATAATACAGGCTTTGAGCGGGCAGATTCAGCGAGCCCTTGATTGTTCCTCCCTGGTTACAGATCAGTATAATTACAATTACTATTCCGTTGCCAGAAATGGCAAGCAACTCACTTCGTGGTCATTCCGGCGCAGATCAACAAGCACGTAGTCTTTTCCCGCCTGCTTGCCCTCGCGCATCCACTGGAGCATTTCTTCGCGGGAGATGCTGCGGGCGGTATTGCGGGGTGCTGGGAAGGCGGCGTGCCAGGGTTGTTCGGTGGGTGGTTGAGCGGACATGATGTATGCTTTATCCTGGCGGATGGTGTTTGGATCAGTGGTGATTTACTCGATTGGAAAGAAGAGGAGAGGATGATCAAGTTGGAACAGCTCAGGGCAGCCTGACTGATTGAAAAGGCATTGGAGAGAGTACGAGGGGCACCAGCCAATCAGCGTGCGCGAGCTACATTCATCTAGGTACTTTGCTACTTTCAGATTGCAGGCTTCTACTGAAAAATCGTGGTATGTGGGAAGATATGCGAATATGGCTAGATATTCATGGTATTGTKATTAAAAGCTACG